CCCCAAAAAGCAGCTCCTGCCCCTCTGGAGCATCCACAGCGCTTGGGCGCCCCTTGAGCAACAGCAAGGGTGGTGCCTGCTGGGCAAGCCAGGCCGTCCCCACCAGCAGAGATGGCAAGGTCGATGATCTTCACTTTTTTTTTTTTTTCTTCCTGTGTCTGTTCTTCCTTAAATCCTGCTGCTGCTGCTGCTGCTCTGAAATTTGGCCCTGGCCCAGCTCCCGAACGTTTGAAGGCCGCGATCATCATCATGGAGCCGGCCAGGGTGATGATGGTGATGATCAGGGGCGTGCTGAACTCATCGTTGATTATCATCTCCCTCTCCATTTTGTCGTAGGTGATGTTGGCGATGCCGAGCTGCCACGAGAGAGATGGGTCAGGCCCTGCAGAGGGCTCCCCACGCCACCCACCTCGGGGGACATCCACGGGGAAGCTGTGCTGTGCCCAGGGACCTGCTTACCTGCTCTAACTTGTCCTCCTTCTCCTTCAGCTCCTCCAGGACTCGCTCAGGGTCCAAGGGCACTGGGGGAATAAAGAGGCTGCAATGAGCACAAGGGGGGAAGGGGGCAGCACCACCCCCTGGGGGCTGTAACTGGCTACTCCAGGTCACGCTGGAGCGGTGCAGAATTGGTCCCCAGGGCCTCGCTGCCCTGCCTGGGGTCAGGTGCTGGAGGCTGGACCCCCCACCCATTCCCCTTTCCTGAGGACAAGGAGGAGGACGGAGCTTGGTCCTTCTTCACCCTGGTGCTAGGGCAGCGTGATGCCTCCATCCTTCCAGCACCCTGGTGCTAAAGCAATGTTTGGGCACCCCCAGGTGCTGGATTTCTGAGCTGGATTTCCCCAGAGGGCTCTGACGTGGGCAAGAAACTCCCCTCTGTGGTCCCTTGGGGGGAAGGATTTGAACAGGCCACTGGATTTTAACCACTTGGGAGGAATTTTTCTTTCTGGAGACCCGTCCCTGCCTTGACTTATCACAGGTGGGAGAGGGATCTGGTGCATTCATTGGGGAGCAAAGCTTATTTCTGGAGTCACTGTCCTTCCACTGATCCACTGCGATGGGGCAGCCCAAGGAAAGGAGCCCCTTGGCCAAGCTCTGGCAGACCCCAGGGCTCTGCCCAAGCCTCAGGCTGCATCCCCACGCCAGGGTCTCCCGATGCTGGTCCCATCCTGTCCCGCTCTGGGTGGGATGGTGGGGCCATACTCACTGTGCACGACCGCCCGCACGGCCCAGTGCTGGGAGCGGGGCTCGTGGGAGGTCAGCGTCACTGCGCACGTTTCCCTGCTGGCGTTGAAAGCGCGCTG